AACAAAAACTTGCCTGAAATGTTTCGACTCCGCAAACTTTAGGTAAAGCCATCCAAAAAATAGATCTAGCTTATCAAATAAAAGTCTTGTGGATTTTTCTAACTTCATACATGTTAGAATATAATACTTTGCACAAAAAATAAAACACGCTGTGGTTTTTAGAGCGAAGATATGTAACCAACATACAGAGGTGTATTGGGGAACAAAAGTTCCCTCAATCAGGGTGTACATTCACCCAGTGCCCAACTGTGGCCAACCCAACACACAGACCAGATGCATATGAGATGCTGAGGTTTCTCTGGATGCAACCAAGGAAGCGCAAAACTGAACTGGCTCTGGCTCCCAAATTAGGTTTGTTTTACTGAATTTCCCTTCTCTGAAAGCTGATCATCCTGGAAACTCTGTAAATCACACTGTTTGATTAATCATAAAAGCTGTTCCCACCTATGGTTGAGAGATGATTAAAATGCTTTTTCTGTAAATTGATCTTGGATCGATGCCTGTACCCAAGAAGACATTACATCAGATCCACATATATACCTTTTGAAAATGATCTGTTGTCATCAACACTGTTGTGGGGCATCTGCTATTTATAGGGCACTCATTAATCTAGTATTGTGAAGTACAAATGCCCCCACTATGAAGTATCAAAATCACAAAAGTTGAGGTCATCCACTGGGGAAATCCATTTATTTTCTATCAGACTGAAGAAAGGTTAGAAAAGGAATTTCCTAAAAAGTTGGTGGGAGTGCGGATTGGAAAAGAGTGTAAAACTGGAAGGCAATTTGGCAAAAATCTCTATCAAAGTGTTAAAATATGCATATCCTTCAGCGAGGAATTCTATGTGTAGGAAGGAAGGGCATATGCTAGAGAACCACTCAAGCCGACTATAGGACTTCTCCAAAGGGCAAGAAACTCAGTATACCATGCCCTCCCTCCTCTTTCCAGATCTAGAGTCTGAAGAACATACTAGCAAAGATTTAGGGTCTTAAAGGAAGCAGACGTGGGGTGATCCACGGGGTTCTCTGAGCTCAGCCTCGGGGATGGTACGAAGCCCAGTGAAATGGCATTTCACAAAAATAAGGCTCCAAGAATTGTAATCTCCAAATAACAGTGATGCCCCTCAAGTGGCTCGGCAGATCCTACAGAGCACGAAGTAAAAGCAAGAACTCCTGATAATCAGCTCTTCAAATATATTATCATGATGACAGACACCCGCTCAAGTAGGCCAGGCAACTGCCCAGGATGCAGGGTTTACTCTCCATCACACCCAGAATGACTTACTTGATATTTAAAACTGGTAAACTTAACTAGTCTGTGTGTTTGGAGACCCCCTTTTTTTTAAAACAGAAAAGTAACAAAGATAGAAAACACAGAGTTCCCATATATCCTTCACTCCGTTTACCCAATGTGAGCACCTTATATCACTATGGGATGTTTGTCACAACTAAGGAACCAACATTGGCACATGGCACTTAGCTGAACTGCACACTTTATTCATATTTCACTAGCTTTCCTCTAATGTCCTTTTTCTGTTCCAGGAACCCACCAGGATATCATTTACCCATTTAGTCCCTGATGTCTCCTAGCCTCCTCTGGTCGGTCTGTAAGTTTCTCAGACTTTCCTCTTTTAAACACCTTGACAGCTCTGAGGAGTGCTGCTTCAGGTATTTTGTAGCCTGTCCCCTACAGGGAACAAAACTACTGCCTAATGTTTTCCATGTTCGGCAGGGTTACGGATTTGGGGGAAGAAAACCACAGAGGTGAAGTGTCCATTTCATGACATCATATCACAGGTACATGCTGTGACTTTCGCATCACAGATGATGTTAACTTTGATCACGTGGCTAAGATAGCACCACCCTTTGCCCGCCCTTTCCATGCTCAAATCAACTAAGTTTAGTCACTAAGGGGCAGCCACTCAAGGGATGGGCAGTTACCCTCCAACTGCTGGGGTGGAGGAGTATCTACATAAATCATTTGGAATTATTCTGTATGGGACATTTGTCTCTACACCTTTTACTTATTCAATATTTATTTATGTCCATGTGGACTCCTAGATAATTATTTTAGATTTAGGTTTATAACCCAATACTATGTTTTTTATTTTGTTGCTCAAATCATCCCAGCTTTGGCCACAGAGGGCAATTTCAGGTTGGCTTCTGTGTCCCATGGCCATACTCCACCAGTTTGTTTTCTGAACACCTCTCTACTTCCTGATTCTTCGTATTTTTATCAGCAAAAGAGCCTTAAGTGAAGGAAGGGACTGGTATGGGTTGAACTGGGTCTCCCCAAAATTCATGTAAAAGTCCTGGTCACTAATACCTCAGAATGTGACGTTTTTGGGGGAACAGAGTCACTGGAGATACAATTAGTTAAAATGAGGTGATAGCTAGTCCAGTATGACTAATGCCCTTATAAGGGGAAATTTGGACACAGCCCACGGGGAGAAGACTGCATGTAGGTGAAAGCAAGGAGACGCCTCTACAAGCCAAGGGTGCCAAGACTGCCAGGAAACCATGACGCCAGAAGGCCACAGAGCAGCTTCTCTCCCTCACAGTCCCCAGGAGCAACTAACCCTGCCGACACTTTGATCTTGGACTTCAAGCCTCTTAAACTGTGAGAAGATAAATCTCTGTTAAGACACTCTGTTGTTACTCTGTTTCGGCAGCCCTAGCTGGCAAATACAAAGGCTAATGTCACCGAACTCTGCATTTCAGTTAAAAATAACTTACAAATGTGTTTATCAAAAGAAGCAGGTATAGAGGAATAGCCTAACAAGTAGCCAAAAGGGAATGCTGGAAAACAGAAGTACAGGCTCTGTGCCACAATAGTTGGCATTATCACCTGGACGGGAACAACAGTGGGGTCAGTGTTTTCAGATGCCTCGTTTTCCCTGCAGTTTTCAGCCACCTGCAGCTTGGTTCAAAGCGCTACTTGCGGAGCACACCTGCAAGTCTAGCGATAACCACCCATCTAGTATAATCATCGTCTTCAGCATGCTAAGTAGCAGCTCCAGAAAAGCCATGTACTTCCCAGGTGCCCTTTCACAGCAATCCTGCAAAGGGCTGACAGGTGATCCCCAGCATGACAGCCAGATAATGTCAAGTTGGCATTTTTGGTCCCTGTTTAAGGACTTGCTCTGTCCAACTTCCATTTGTCCAACTTCCATTTTCCCTAAGTCCCATCAACAAGTGGTCTGATGGCTTAGAACTGAACGTAATACCACATCACTGTAAGCAATACAAATACTGTACAATCACCCAGTATTTAGGACCCTTGGTATAATTTTACACTTTACAGGATACACAGCAAGCTCTAAACTTACAGATGAAGGGATTATAGTCCCCAGGAAGGAGAAAGTGATTTGTTCTGAGTTAAGAGATGGAAGAGGCAGGTTAGAACCTGTATGTCACCTCACTCCACATCTAGTGGTGAATGGAGGTGAAATGGAGGTGAAATCTAAACACCCGCATGGGTAGATAAGGAAACATTCTTTTTTTCCTCCTATCAACTGGGAGGTGACAGGACAAGATCTGAAGTATTCATTTGGAAATTATTTTCACTGCAAAAGCTCTGGTTTGTCTGCATTTTTATGCCTATATTAAGAAAATCAAATGAACTCATTAAGCTTAGGCCAACTCAGAAAGCCTCTCGCTGGAATATGCAAGCCCTTGCAACCCCTAGAGCCCTGCCATAATCCTTCAAATTATTAAATAATTACTGTGTTTCCCTTGGGGTCACATTTGGCAACAAAATACTGGTCTAAATGAACCTGTAATATGAGCCAGTGAATTACACTTATGCTCTTCACTTCCTAGAAGCAAAAGGATATGAAATATTTCCAAGACACAAACTGGGGAGGAGAGGGAAGGGTTTTCTGTGGGGTATGGAGTGAAGTGGGGGGGGGGGGGGGGAATAGAATGACAAAGGAACATGAGAATCTGGGAAAAATCCCAATAACGAGCGTCATCTCCTCCCCCACCACCTTGTATATCTGCAATTCTCCCCTCCAATCCCCATTCCCTTCCATTTCAGGAGTAGCTACAGCCACAAGGAGAAAAACAAACATATGGCTCTGTCCTTCTGGACATTTCTACAATGCTGGCTGGGATGCTTTGGAAAATCCCATTTCATCTCCTACAGCTATATGACCTCAGGTTGTCATTTCCAATAACGTATGCTTCCACTGATTTTTATGAACACAGACAAAAGCTGCTACAACCTTTTTTTTTTTCCTCCCAAATCTTTCAAACTGTAGTTGCTGTGTAGGGTTATTTGTTTCTAAGGCAACAGCGTATATCTAAGTACTAATGGCCTGTCCTTTTGCCAGGCAACAAACAGGCTTGTGATGCAACCGCACCTGTCTGGCTACGCGTTGCTATGGAGATGCTCCAGTTGCTATGGCTACCATCACGCTAATCGCCTAGCAAAGGCAGACATACAGCAGTCTTCTCAGAGAGCCCAGCTGTTCCTCCCAGCCTCTTGCTGAAGACTGATTGTCTAGGGCCTGTGATGGAATGCTCCTCAACTGAGATGCACAAGAACTTCATTAACGCCATTTCGGAGGATCTCTTTGTGCTCCTTTCTGCAGAACCAGCATCAGACAAGGGAAAGAATCTGCCAAGAAATAGCCTGTAAAACTACTGAAATCAATGAACTCACAACCACTCCTCAATGACATAAATTTGTACTCCAAGGATAATTTCTCTTAACCAGGTGGTTGCAATAGAAACATGTCTATACGTTAAAAAATATATATATATATTTTTTCTTTGGTAAGATAGAGGGATCTATTTTAAGCCCAAGCACTATCAAAGACAAAATCAGTTTTACAATTTGGTCCTGTGTTATGTACTATTTTTTGCAATCTCACATTAGCACCACCAACCCACCCACCCACCCTTTTTTTTAAAAAAAAGTGGCCAGCTACATACACATCCTCCCCTCCACTCCATCTTTGCAAAAATGGCACCCATGACCTCACAGACTCAAAACAAATGGCATGCGAGGGAGAATAAAAGTCTCCATTGTTCTCTGCTGTTCTCCTTGAAGAGGCAAACACCAAGTAACCACAACAAAATGATCTCTGTGGAGCCCCGTCTGCATGGAGACCGGGAGTGACAACAGTCGAGTCCCTCAGCAAACACCTGTAGACACTCTCGGCCAGCTGATGGCAAACCAGACCCGCTTACTGGACTCATTCCTGTACTTTTCTCCCAACAAACCATGACACGCTGAGATGTGAAGGCTGTCAACTTTTCTTTGTAAATGTTTCAACCCAGGAAGACATTATCTTACCCGCCGTGAAGCCTTCTGGAAACACATTCCTCTGGAGCAGCAAAAGGGGTAAGGTTTGCAGGAAATATAACAATGGATATGCCTCTAATAATGCTTAATTTCTTCCTCATTTATCTTTAGTTATTTTTAATACCATACAGCCTATTAAATTAGTTTCAGTGCCTATCTGACAAAATGATGCAACTTCAGTAGACAAAAACAAAAAAGTCTGAATTGCTTACCTTTGATAGGCCTGAGGAGAGGCGGGAGGTGTATTGAACACGTGTGGGTGTGGGTGATAAGGTGTCTTTTTCAAAGCCTGAATTAGATTTTGTCTATACTCTGGGTCTATGCACCACAATGACCCTTTCCCAATACTCTGCAAAGAAAATTGAAATACAGGTGGTTAACACAAAAAATTAAGTATTCTGCAGTAAGTAGCTGTACAGCTATTATCAGAGTTACTTAAAAGCCTCTCACTTATTTGCTATTTGTCAACCTTAAATACTGTAATATTGTACTGACAATAGAGCACCATATAAAATGCACTGCAGTCTTAACTGGTATTAAGTTCAACAGACAAAATAAACACATTATTATCAGGTGATGGTGATACAGTTATAGTATAATTTTCATATGCTAATGGCCAAAAAAAACCCCAGATTCCTTTGTTATTATTTTTCAGTGGCAGCTTTAAAGAACGTATGCATTCTGTTCTAAAAACAAGTTGTAAGTTGATCAAATTTTAAACGTTGAAAGAGAAAGAGGGCTAAACACCCTCAAAACTCCATGTCCACCTTAAAAATCTGAGTTATATCTTTTAAGCCATATTACATCGGTAGCACTACACAAACAGAAAAGTAATCCACTTGTTTTTTTCCTACTAACAAAAGAACGCCATTTAAGCTTCCCATGGAATCGTGTAATTACCTTCCCCAAGAAACAAAAGAACTCAGGCAGCAGTGGTAAACCTAAGCCAGAATCCAATATTTATTTTTTGGATTCCTCAGTTTAACAGTATTCTGCTCCAGGCCTCAAGGCGCTGAGTTTTAGAAGTCAAACTTTAAAATGCAAATATCTTAAAGCTGATTCCACGGAAAGAGGAAACTTGCTCTGAGGCCCACTTTCAACTGCAGGCTTTTGGTCTGCAGACAGCATTTTCTAAAAAAAAAAGTTATGTCCTTCCTCTGAGGCCCTCTGAACTGGCAGCAGGCCGGTGGGCAGTCGCGGCTCTGACTGCAGCTTTCAAGTGCCCGACTGTACCCACACTGTCAGATAAGGTCATTTGTAAATATTTACTGATCTGGAGAGAAAAGAAGTCAAATTACATAAACGCGTGCCCACCCCATGCTTCCAGCCAACCAACTCTCTTATTTTCAGAACTATTGTGCTATGGGAAGATTTAGGAAGCAAACAAAAAAATCGTTTATTGTAGGGAGTAAAGTCCAAGAAAATCCCTTAAAGACATTACTCCTAAAATTTTTAAAGAATGTTTTAAAAGTGTGTATTTCAATCATCAGTTCACCAAATAGCTTACTTAAAAACTTATTCACAGAATCCTTTAAAATTCTATATCAACATCAGCCAGCAGTGTAATGGGAATTAACTCTTCCTAGTGCACTGAGAACTGGGGTATTCCTCAAAGCCAAGGTCAGGGGGCTGGGACCTCTGATCACTCCGGACATCCCCCTCCAGCGTGCAGGCCTGGCCCCAAACACAGGTCCAGTCAGGCCAACTTTCCTGAGCCAAACACCAGAGCACCCAGTTTAATTATCTGGATGCTTAAAGGCACAAAAGATTTCAAACTTTGGAAAACCCAACATCCTGATATGTAGCCTTTCATTTCATTCGTGTATTTTCATTCCCAGGATCTTTCAGGGGGACTGATGAGGCTTCCCCAGTATGACATGCAGGCCACCAAACAATCTGCCCCATACCCTTTCCAGAAAGCCCAAACTGTGAAAAGCTGGGGAAGAGCAGCCACCACACTGGGAACAAGTAACACCAAGCCCAAAGTGGGTTAAGCTCCTCAGCAGGGGGGTGCTGGCCTGACTCCCGTCAGAGGTTCCCAGAGCAGCCCGGCACCCGAGGAACCTGCCTTTCTAATCCACTTGAACACAAGTATCCCAACCAGCTACCTACCTTGAGTCCCATATGCAACCTCATCATTTTTGCAACTAGATATCTCAGTTCTGGGAATCTAAGGGCTTTTGTTTCATCAAGGTGGTTTTCCAGGTGGGGCCATTTAATCTTACAGAGAATAAAAATACGACAAAGGTCAACTGACCTTCTTAGGGTAATAACAATAAGCCCCGAATGTGGTTTCTCCTAATCCTGACCTAAGCATCTTGTTGATTATACTACACTACTGTTTACAAACCAAATGGAAAAAACCCACGGGAGGAGCCAGAGGAGGAGGAGGGGGCGATTTCACCAGGTAACTGATCCAGGTGCAAGAGGCAGGGGGAGGTGAGAACTGCAGTTCTGGAGCCAAACAGATTCCTGGGCAAATCATGGCAGCAGGGCAGCAGGCGGTGGGTGGAACACCAAGACCAGGGCAGTGCCTACAGGTGCTCAGGAAGTGGTGGAAACTCCTTTCGGCAAAAGAAAGGGAGCAATGCTGGCTGTACGAGGCCTTTCATTAAAGCACATCGGAGTTTCCCAAAGCCATCCACCATAAAAACAGCACCAATTCCCAAAGTGCCAGTGGTGGGGCCTCCAGCAAATGAATGGCTATTGAGGAGTAAAGTAGGTCTCCTCCTTTGTGCTGCTGGTCCTGACTTAGCAAGGTCACTTTGCGGGGCTTTCCTGCTTTCTGAGCTCCCCCACCACCGCGCCTGCATTTCCATCAGCAAACCCCATCTGCCTTCCACACACCCTCCACTGTAACTTCTTCCTTACTCAGGAAGCCAATTCTGACGCACACCAACCTAGATGCTGGAAGTTTCCTTCTGCCCAGCTCTTAGCAAGGTGAGTATCAAGCCGAGATTTAATTACAAACCTGGTCAGCACCTACACACAGTATTCATTCCCTGCAGAGATCTGCCTGCGCTTTGGATCACAATAGGTCCTACCGTGATCACTTCTGCATTTTATGGTAAGACAGGTCTGGAGCCACTGACAGGTTTCCACAGACCAGACACTAATTTCAGTATCCTGTACTTAGAATTTCCAAATAAAAAAAATTTTAAGAAAGCATCTTCGAGACACATGGACAGGGACACTGTCAGTCGCTCCAATGCCCTCAATGATTTTACAGTGGAGACCACTAGGCAGAGCTTGGAAGGCACATGACAGAGGCTGGCATGCACCTTACTTGCAAACATTCTCTTTGGTTTTATCTAACAGTTCTGAACAGTAAAAAGGTTAACTTGAAAAATTTTTAATGGAAATATGAAGAGAGAGAGAAAGCTCAGGTTTCTTAGGCCAGGAAAAATTACATTTAATGCCCCTGACCGGGGAGAAAAGGATGTAATTTGATTATAGTTGTGTAATAAGTTTAGAGTCAGAGCTTTTACAAGAAATATCTGCATCTCATCTGAAGAATAGGCTTTTTTTTTTAACCATGGTAACTGTGAGGGCCATGCATCATTAAATGTTAAGGATTTCAAAATAATAAGGGAAGAAAGATCCTCATTCATAGACACATTTTTTGTATACATATATATACATTTTTTAAGAAGACATATATATACATATACACAAAGAGAAAAATGTATCTATGAATGAAGATCTTACACACACACACACACACTTTGAGAAAACTAATGGGAAAAGTAGAGGGGGAAAATGAGCTAAAAGATATGGATGAGGTCATGCTTTTCATTTGTTTGTTTGTTTTTAATTACAAAGCATTGGGGGGAAAATGCAGACATCTCCCTGTCAGCAATAAAAAACACCAATACAGAAGAGAGACAAAAAGACAAGAGCCTATATTGTAGAAAAAACTGACTATTGGGAAACGTTTTAAAAGAAAGAGATAAGAGTAACAACTAAATGAAATCTTAATCTCACTTGTAAAGATAACATTTTTTCCTGCAGTCTAGATCCAGGGCATCTGGGGCAGCCCATAAGTCTCTCCCCCACCCCACAGCAGTCTGGAGCTGCCTGACTTCGGGTCTTCAATTTGGGTGTCTTCACTAGACTTCGAGTTCCTGAGGATAGGGACCATTATTTTAAACATTATTTTTCAAACTCTGGGCTTGGTACATTATGGGTCATGAAACCAGTGTAATGGTGCCAACCAGCACTGTTTTAATGGAACAGAATAGAAGCAAATGGAAGAGACTAGAACAGAACATGTATGTAGTAAAGTGACACTGTGTGAAATGCATATGTGTGTACATGCATATAGGCATATACCGGATCAGAGGGTAACCTATACTTCTTACTAGAAATCTGGGTCCAAGAAGGGTGGTAAACACCAGTCAAGGACCATGGTTTCTACTTCCCCATCTCGTCACTTCTGAGGGATAAAGCACAGGTCCAGCAGTAAGAGAGGACTCTCTCAGTATGACACCCCAGGGCCAGGGGAGGGAGAAATGAGGCAGGCCCCACCTCACGATGGAGCAGGCAACTGGCTATGTGTCCTGGGGAGTCTGAAACAATCCCTCCTCATGTTTCTGATCCACCATTGCTGAGGGTGTTTCCCATACCAGCCTCCCTCATTCGCTGCCTCCTCCATATGGTTCCCACCACATGCCAGGCACCACGGGGGACAGAGTGAATAAAGAAGAATACAAGAAGGCCACCGCTCTCTTGAAGCTCAGAATTCTAGAAGGGGGAGAAGATACTAGGTAAGTAAGGAAATAAGTAAGCAAGACCAGAGAGACTGTAATGCCTGCTGTGAGGGAACAGAGAGTAACGTGCCAGAGAGAGGAACTCGCTGCTGTGTATAGAAAAAATGGGCTGGAAGCGTCAGAGGACCTGCAGAGATCTGCTATGAGCTGACATCACCTGGGACGGCCCCAGGTGACCAGGTGGCCACAGTGGGAACGGCTTCAGGATGTACGTGGGAGAACCAGCTGGACAGGGTGATGGAGTAGAAGTGGCAGGTAAAGAAAAGAGAATAGTGATTTGGTTTGAGAAACAAACAAGGTCAAAGATTGGGAGAGGGGGAAAGTCTTGTGTTCATGTGAACACACAGCCTTCGAGATGCCTTAAGAATTCAGAACTACTCATTAGCATACTCGAAAGACCTGCTGGACATATGCCACCTCTCTTCTCTCTGCTGGGCCCTCGTGACCCCAACCTTTATAGCAAAAGCTTATAAATGTAGAAAGGGAGATTGGAGAGGGTCTGGCTTTAGATGTTTAACATCAACTGATTCTTTTACAACAGAGTTGGCAAACCTTTTCTTAAAGGCTGAGAGTCACTATTTTAGTGTTTATAGGCCATGTGGTCCCTGCTGCAGTAACACTCACATCTGCTGTTCGAGAACAAAAGCAACGGACAGTCATGGCTGTACTTCTGTAATACTTTATTTACAAAAACACAGTCCATGTTCGCTGTCCTCTGCCCTCCAGCTCCTGTACTTGATTGAATGAAGGGTTCAAACTCAAAGCTCCTGTGGTTTGGAAACATAAAACCAGGTAAGGGGGGGAGAGTTCTTCAGGGGCAGAGCTGGCTGGGTCCTGTGAGACAGGTTACTGTCAATGATCTAAGTCAGGGGCTTCAAGGCCAGAAGGGGCCTGGGGGAGGAGGACACAGACACAGACCGCAATAAGGGAGCCCACCAGTAATAAGCACACGGATTATTTGTTGAGCTGCACCTAACACCCCTGCTCTCTGGAATCACTGTGTGTGCACAGCAACCTCTCCCTCTCAGGGTCTCCGCTTCCTCACCTATAAAAGAGCTGGTCAGATTAAATCACCCCATAGATTCATAACGCTATGCTTTGGGAATGTGTTACTACAGATTAGTATACATGGGCCTTCATTTCTCCACCTCGTTCCTAGCCTCCCAACACTGCCATTTTTCTGTTCTGGGCCAGAACCACACACATAAAGTCAGTAAGAAGGATGTTACTAAGCTTTCAAAGGATAGTCCTTACGTGGTTAGCATGAACATAGGAGTCCAGGAAACCCGGGTCCAACCCTTGTTTTCATTTCCCAGCTGTATGACACTGGATAAGTTACTTAACTGCTCTGAGCCTCAGTTTCCTCACCTCTGGAATGTGGGTGATATAATACCTGTCTCACAGGATTGCTGCAAGGATTAGATGAAGTAGTAACTGTGCTTAGCGCACAGCAAAAGCTCAACAGATACTGCTCTCCATATCACGATGGTAAAAATACCAAATAACCAGCTTTCCTTGACACTGACCTCCAAAACATGCACGCCCTGTCCTAACAAGGCAGGTACTTGTCAAACTGTGAAATAATGCAAATTTCATCTTAAAAAAATAATCCCATGTGGCTATTGGTTTTGCATTGTCTGATGGTACTTTCTAGGTCAAAGAACATTTTGTAACAGAAGCACTAAGGTGGATGTAGAAATGGAAGGTCAAAACAGAACAAAGTAAAGGCCCGGACAGCAGAGTGCTGCCAGAAAGGGCACGGAGTTTGAGGAACCCACCTGCCTCCAGTCACTTTGCGCAACAAGGCCCTCCGGGTGGCAGGACCCTGTGGCCATCCAGGGCTTCCCGAGAAGAGGTCCCTGCCCTTCAGAGCTTACAGCCCACCACCTCCTTCTCTGGGTGGAGAGGCCCTGCCTGCCACGCCGCCCTGGGGGCTGGGAGGGAGAAGAGCTGACAGAGAAGAAAGCTGGGCAGGCAGAGCTGGGATGGGCAGAAGAAGCTGGCCTTGGATGAGGGAAGGTCTCCCAGTGGGGAGGGTTGGGCTCAGGGGCCACGGATCTGTTCTCTTGGGGACCCACAGGCTCACACTGGAAATTGAAGCTGATGAGGTCCACTCACTCTTCACCAAAAGACATGTGTAGTTTTATTGATAGGGGACCCAAAGCTGACATTTTCGAGTGGCTATTTTACCCACTGTAGGAAGTCATCCCAGGATCTGAAATGCAGGCTTAAGGTATTCTGGAAACAGCCTAGATTTATTTGACTATAGACATCTAGCTAATCTCCTGGGGGTGCCCTGCAGCAGCCCCCCCTTCCCCCATGCAGGTCCTGAGTTACTGCTCCCATCACATCACGTAGCCCCTCACCTCTGCTGGCTTCTCCTCTCCCCTGAACCTGGCTTCTCCCCTGCTCAGGCTTCTCCTAGCCAAGCTGGCACAAAGGAGGAAGTGAGGAAAGAAGGAAGGATGGGTGCTGGGGGGCTGGGGGCTGGGGAGGGAA